TCACGATACAACTATTATTAAGGATTTTATGACGTTGTGAAGCAAAATTTCCAGTTTTGGTGGCACAAAATGCAGTGCAAAAATTTGGCCAAATCAGGGCGAAAATTGATTCACAGAAACGGTCGCTGCTTCTAAACTAACAAAGATAGCACAAAAATTTAAAAAGCTCTGAAAACAGAAAGCAAAGCTCTTTTCAATAATCCAATTTTTAGTGCCCTCGGAGAAGTTTGAAAATTTCACTGAAGTACCTACTTTATACACAATTCACAGATTTCACTCAACTCGTTTGCACATTTGACCTACTTCTGAGATTTCTAGGGGGCTCTCGTGGTCTTGAGGTTACGGTGTTTGCCTCTCATTCAACAGGTCTGGGGTTTGAAACCTGACAGCGATGGAAATTTATTATTCTCTAAAAATTTCTCCCTTCACCTCCTTTCCTACCATGTTCTGTCATCTGCTTTCATCTCCACTTTCTGCCCCCACCCCACTCCAACTCAACTTTGCCCCCTCTTCTAGGCTCCTGACTTTTTCTGCAGCATTTCTACAGCTACTCATGGGCTCCTTCTTACTCTTGTCTTTCAGCCACACCCCTGATCTTATGGTAGGTTAGACCTAACACCAAGCCTTCTCGGAAAAGGGTGAAAAATTTCGGAGGACTCGTGTGAAAGTTGTGGACGTTAAAGAATTCTTGGTGGTCCAAAATCGATCAGAGTAGGCTTCGGCCGTGACCCGGCCAAAATTCAAAATTAATTCCTAACAAACTGAAAATGTTTAATGAGTCCCGCGTGCTCATATGACCTTATGCAATTCCGAGCGCTGTAAAACACTTACCCCCCCAAAAAAAAGAAAGATTTCTATAAAATAAAAACATAACAGTATTTGACTAATATTGCTAGAGATGCCGCCTTTGGCTCCCAGACATTGCAATTTGAGAGGCATGGATTTATCTGTCATCTTGGTCCATAACTATAGCTTATATAGACAACTTCTTTTTTAAATTCTTGCATAAAAGTTTTTTTTTAATTCTTCAAAATGCCGAAAGAAGAGTGATTTGGGCACAATGCAACACCCATTTAAGCATGAAAAATTACTTTTCCAAATTCTTTAGGTAATTAACCAGAATCAAGTCCGCACTTTCTGCAGAAGCACCGAAATGTATAAATTATGTTTTGTTCAGTAAGGTTTTACGGCGCTCACAACTGCATAAGGTAATATGAGCGCCAAGGGGTGGATGTCAACAGAGAAGTCCAAACCGTGAATCAGGCTTACTCTACTCACCTCTCTAGCCTCAACAGCACAGTCTGCTTCGAATATAAAGGTACCCCGGATATAGTAGTTCACAAGAGTGACAAACATACAAAAGAAGAAGAAAAAAGACGAAAGTAAGGATGAAGAAAGAAAAAGCAGTAGTTCCCTGATGAGCATGACATTGATAAATCAGCCCATTTACAATTTTACTGTGCATAAGAACATGTTAATATCCCCCCTTTGGGAATGGCCTAAAGACACTTCAGTCAGTAGCACTGCCCAGGGGGGGATGGATAAATTAGAAAAGAATACAAGATTATTGCCTTCCAAAAACATGGAACCATCATGTTCGATTTTTAAAGGAAAGAACAGCTTAGAGTTAAAACATTTACCAAAACTATCTTACTCTATCACATACTTGACTGCGATTAAAGAAGAATGAGGGAGACAACATACCTTGTGATAAACCTCCTGCAGTGCTTGCTGTGCCCCTTCTGAGCCAGAGCCAATGGCTTTGCCATCATACTGAATGAATGTGCCTGAAGGGTCCATGTGAAAACTGAAAAGATGAGTTAGATTTGAGACAACATTAAATCCAAAAGAGACAAATAAACTTAATTCCTAAACCTCTGCAATAACACAAAAATAAGTTAATGATTTTGATTAATGCATATTATGATATATACTTAAAAACAATGGTTATCAACAGTAAGGACTCTACAAACCAGTGGAGGACAGTCACGACGCCACTTTTGTTTTCAGTGAAATCGACTCAATTCCTCGCGGCGCACCAGCAGTGGAATTTTAGTTGCAGCAGGGGGTACCCCGCCGAGCGCCTTATCACGACGGGGTAATTCAATATCCTATTAAAGCCATGAAATCTTTTGTTACCCGACACATTGCTATAAATTATTAATATTGGCCCCCCCAGACACTGTGGATAAGCCACCATAATCCATTCACCAGTCATTATTTTTAATCCATCAAGTTGTGTAGGTCTCTCCTACTCTTTACCCATGTTGACATGGTAACGTGTGGATCATCATAATCCAGAAGCCCAGTCCACAACTATGACCATACATGAATCATACGTGAGGTGAGTGGTTCTCTGTTTACCCAGTTGATAACAATGGACCCCAACATGAACTTTCAACAGAAGTGTAACTCATTCGGCAAGTGGAAGCATAAGCAACCCATTTGTTTGTTTTTTACCATCGCACTTGGTCTTCCTCATCTAACACATTTCATTTTGTTTTACTCTTGCACTGCAGTCTTCCTGGTCGCATACACTTCATAGAATTTAACACTCAGAAGCTGTGAAACCTCCCTTTCCACCCTCTCTTCAAAAGAAAAAAAAAGAAAAAAAGACATTAGGGCAGTTATAACCTGCCAACACCTCCAGTTGGGACCTTAGAAGGGAATGGTTTGTTTTCTTCATTTTGATCAATCCTGTCTAAGACGGCCATTTTTCTCGTCGACGATTAATGGCCGTCTTAAACAATTTTGACTGTACTTTTATTCAATTCCTTTCAAGACAGCAGTCTGAGCAGATACTATCATCAAAAGCCAAAATTATCACACACAGAACATTATCTTATGGTTAGTTTTTTAGTTTTAGTTTTAGTTTTAGTAGAGGTTTTATGGCGCTCGCAACTGCATAAGGTCATATGGGCGCCAGAAGATTAGGTGTTACAAGAGAGTAACAAACATAAAAAAGAAGAAGGGGAGATAAGGACGATAGATGTTTGATAGGAAAGAAGGAGCAAACCACACCAGAGCACCCGCCAACCACCCACACTTGCTTTTGAATCATAAAACACGCCACACACACATGACAACAATATGGACTAAAACAAATGGCCGTCATTATTCGGACTCGAGTCCGAATAACGTTTTTTCATATTCGGTCTCGTGTCCGAATAAAAAAATTTCATATTCGGACTCGAGTCCGAATATGAAAAAATGTTATTCGGACACGGTCTGGAAAAAAGGAAGTGTCTTCGTTCTATAGATCTAACGTTCAGTGCTTCCAATTTTCCGCCATTTTTTAGTTTCCCCCACACTTTATCTGCCGATCCGATGCCCGCTGCCTCATTGATACGCCCCCCAACCCCACCCCCCATGTTTCCCACTTTCTTTGTTGTAGAAAAAATTAAAATTGAACATTAGCAGATCACCTGGCACCTGCATATTATGAGCTGTGTAAAAAAAAAAAAAGACCGATTCGTTCAAATACACAAGCCTGTGTCATCTCGATTGTTTTACCAAGAAAAAGTTGTGTTGCTGTGTAGAGCCGAGCATACGGCAACTTTTGATTCCATAGACCAGTCACAGGAAGTCGGCAGTGATGTCATGCTGAATCAGAGTTCGAATAACATTTTTTCATATTCGGACTCGAGTGTGCAGTGATACTCCACTTTCAAAAATCCTACCTGAGGATAAAATTCCTAACCACCTACGCTATCAGCAAGTAACCAGTCTCTATAGAATGGGCCTTTCGGTAAAATCCAAGCAGACCGGGTCAATACAGTGAAATAATAGAGAAAAATCGGGAAAAATATTAATACGCCAGCAAAAGCGTTAATTTCCCTCCAAAATGAGAAAGAAAAACTATTAACCACTTAACAATTAAAACACTTTCTACAATATCCATTCAAAAAACATAATTTGAGTTCTAAACACGATATAAAAGCACTCACTGCGTCCAAAGTCGACTAAAGAATCTGAAAAATCCACTCGAATGTCCCTGCATGCCCCATCTTTGTTTACATCCTGCAACAAGTATTCACGCGCGTTTGACCAATCACTACAACTGCAACTCGAATACTCCCCCTAGTCAATATAATAGCTCATTTAGTGAAATAATGTGTACAGTTAGTATTTTACTCACGGTTATTCGAATGACAACTACCCCGACCTTTCAACCATCGTACATCTCAATGAAATATCTCATAACTTACCTTCCACTGTAATTAAGGACTTCCGTAACGAGTGACCACCCCATCAAACACAATAAAGAAGAGACCTAACCCTAACCCTATACTACCCCTACCCCTCAATTCTGCTCTGTCTCATACTGGTCGACCCCTAACCCTAACCCAAACCCTAGATCTGCCCCTAGCCCTCAATACCCCTACCCCTAGACCTGCCCCTACCCCTCAATACCCCTACCCCTAGACCTGCCCCTAGCCCTCAATACCCCTACCCTACCCCTAGACCTGCCCCTATCCCTAGACCTGCCCCTACCCCTACCTCTAGCCCTCAAAACCCCTACCCTA